CGTCACCCCACTCTGTGGCACAGGGACATAACAACCAGCGTCTCTGGAATGTAGGGGAAGTTCAGTCTGTTCCTCACATGTCCCAGGCCTCCTGCCCAGGCCCGGGCTGTGCTGCAGGGATGCTGCGGGTTGGACACTTGCTCAGGCGGTGGCCACACGCTCTCAGGCTCTAGGTGGCAGGAGCCTTCTCCCCAGCGTCGCCCCTGCCCCGTCGGGGTTACGATCCCCCTCCAAGTCTGGCCTGCAAGGCCTCTTGGCTGGGGGCGTCTCCCTGCGCTGGGCCCGCTGCCCAGGGTCCCCCTCACACTCTCCAGCTGCTCACCGCACCCAGCTCTGGACTGCTCCAGTTCCACTCTGCCACTGCTCCAGCTCCAGCTCCCTGCCTCAGCACTGCTGCTGCTGCTGCTCTGCCTCCAGCTCCCTGGGCTGCTTCTCTGGCCCCTCTGGCTCTGGTTGCTGCAGCTCTGCTCCCAGCACAGGTCTGCTCTGTGGGCTGCTTCTGTGACTCTGTTCCCAGCACTGACCTGCTTCCGGGGCTGCTTTTCTGGCCCCTCTAGATCTGGCACAGCTCTGCTCCCCCGCTCAGCTTGGGCCCCTGCTTTCTACTTAGCTGGGCCCCCTCTGTCTGACCCAGGCAATTCCAGTTCACATGGAGGACAGACCCCCCCCACCCCCCTGATTAGCCTGCCCGCCCTGTCAATCAGGCTGACGTGGAGCATTGGTCTCTCCCCATTGTTCCTGGGCACTATCAGTCTCGGGGACCTGATTTCCCATCGACCTTTCCCCTTTCTTTTGGTACTGGGAGCTAGCCAACCAAAACACCCCCCAAGAGTCCCCTTACATAAGGCTCTCTGATCTCTGGGACAGCATTCAATACATACTTGTGAATATGTGAAGTTTTGACTGTTTGCCAGATCCGATGCTGTGCTCTCAGGGACAATACTTTTACATCCCAGCCTTATACGTTGGGGGGGGGGGAGGTGGGGAGGGGGGCAGAGGAAAGGAGCAATACTTTTCAGACTAGGCGCAGAACAACTGAAAAAGTGTAAATCTCTCATTGATGGGCCCTGCATTCTGACACCATTTCCCTGCAGGAGTGAAGTGCCAGCACTTTCTTTTAAAGTACTGTAAAACAGTTTTATTTAAAATGGGGTCAAAATATAAAAAAAAATACAAAAATGTAATAGATGCCAAAGGATTAGGTCACTGCTGGGTTGGTCATTGCAGCTAGGCAAAATGAGCATTTGCTGTTTGGTATATGCTATGGACAAGACAAGAGTTTTTTTCCTTTTAAATAACTGTTTGTGTGTGTATTACAGGATTGTACACAACTGAGAAAGCTGTTAGATTCACAGACTATACAGGCAGTTACACAACTAAATGATGAGAACAGGTAGTAACCCCAGGGTATTAACAATTTATTGTTACTGGCTTTTTTCCAACTTCCAGTATGCATAGTGCAATAGAGCATGGACTGGTAAACAAGTAGCAGGCAGAAATGCAGGTGACTGAAAACTTAGAAAGGTAGGGTAGCGTAGCATTGTGATTACACCATTGGCCTAGAAATCAGGAGATAAGAGTTTAATTCCTTGAGTCTGACACAACCTTAATTTCTCTGTGCTTATTTCCCTGTATCTAAAATGAGGATAATAGTAATTCTTTCTTCCTGCCTTTCTTTTTCTCCTGTCTAGTTTGTAGTACAATGGGGCCTTGATTTCTGTTGGGATATTTTTCCTGGAAGGCTGGAATTATTCTGTGTCCGTATTTTAGTTTGAAATTATATGATTTTTCTAAAGCCCACTTTTCCTTGTATGTTGTCTAGTCTCACCTTAAATCATAAGATTCTTTTGTGAGCTATAATATAGCGATACATTTGTCAACAACTACTGTTGCTATTGTGAATAGGGGGCATTCTGCAGTGGGAAATACTCCATAATATTACATTCTGTATTTGGAAATATTTCCCTGAATACAGTAAGTTGGATTTGTATTAAACCACATGCTAAAGGTATAACACACTGGCTACGTTGTGTCCCTCTCTAATGGCTGCTCCACATAGAGGATGAGTCTACTGTTCCTCTACCAGTTAAATGAGTAAATCTGGTAGTTGGTAGCAGTAATAGGCATTTACAAGATAAAAGCCTACTTGTAATACCAGTAATGGCATTACATGTTTAGCTCATGTGGTAGGGGCCTGGCTTTTGGTGCTGATGCTACAGATTCAGTCCATGCGAATGACCCAATGTGAGGATTGTTACAAAGGTATTTTTCAGGCTATTTATGTGACATCAGAAAGTTTGGTTCCAATGGCAGTGCCAGGAAAATGTGTCTAGTAACTTCTCTGACTGCAAGCATCTCCAGCAGCCACTGGGAGGCTGTATGAGTTCATTTTGTTAGTGATAACAGCTATGTAGCCGAATTCTCTCTAAGGTGGCAAAGACACGGTGGTATGAAGATGACTGTGTATCTTCTGGAACTTGATTGCTCATTTTACTTTTATATTCAGCAAACTGCCCGTCTCTGCATCATTGTGGGCTGCATAAAGTCTGGCTATTAGTCCTTCAGTTCATCCTCTTTGTCTGAGCCTTTGCAGACAATGTTTCCTCACTTAGAGCTACAGTACAGTTGGTAGAAATATTTATGAAAGCATGACCCTTCTAGTTTGTTCTGTTAAGTCAGACATTCGAATGATTGCAGATGCTGCAGGCACCTGGGGTTCAGCGTGGGGAGGTCAGTCATGGCTCTCCGGGTGAGGGCAGGGTTCTGGAGCAACCCTAGGGTCAGCTTAGCGCACCAGCTGTAGCCAGGCCTCCCAGCTCAGGGGGAAAGGGATGCAGTTCATTTGCAACCCAAGGAAGCTACAGTGCACCTCAGCCAGGGCTCCCCAGGATGCAGGATCACTGGGCGGTGGGCAACTGCCCTTCCACCTAAATCATGCCCTATGAGCATTTCAGGTTTTTAAAAAGGGGTGGGGGCAGTGGCCCTTTTGCCCCCGTCTCCGGCGCCTACAGGGGGCTGGCTGGGGATGCATTTAGGCACTCAGCACCCTGTTTAAACGTATGCTTGGAAAATATTCCTCCCCTCCTTGAAATCTCTAGGATTTCCAGAGCAATGATAATCCTCATGACCTCCCCTGAAAGAACAGGAAAACGTGTTGTTAGGGTTCCCTCATCACTCTGAACTTTAGGGTACAGATGTGGGGACCCGCATGAAAGACTCCCTAAGCTTATTTCTACT